CTGATTCTCTCCCCCATCCCGTTGGTGGGGGAGTGAGTGAGTGGCTGCGTGGTTCTTGGCTGCTGGCTGGGGTTAAACCATGACACCAGAGTCTGTTCTCCTGAAGTCCAGGGCTGTGAGCTTGCCTTTTGCCCTGCTCCCTGGTCTCGGGACGCTCAGCTGTCCTGTGTCACACTCACTGCAGCCAGGGCTGCCTTTGACCTTCCCATCCCCAGCAAGAGTCTCCTTTTTGAGTATGATGTCTAGAGCACCTCCCATCGGCATCTCTGTCACTTGGGTAAAGAATTTGTCAGCAGTGCTTCGCAGGAGCTGCCTGGACTGAAAGGGTATGGAATATCCCTTTGGTCAGTTTGGGTCACCTGTCCCAGCTGTGTCTCCTCCCAATCTCCCATGCATCCCCAACTTCCTTGCCAGTGTGGCAGTACGGAAAGCAGCAAAGGCCTTGACTCTGTAAGCTCTGCTCAGCAATAACAAAAACATCTCTGCATTATCAACTCTGTGTTCTGCACAAAACCCAAACATAGCCCCATACTAGCCTCTGTGAAGAAAGTTAACTCTACTTCAGCTCAAACCAGCACAATTGCTTAAACCCTTTTTTTTCTTGTCCCTGCAGCAGTTACCCAGGTGGCCCAAGGTCCCCATGAAGAGCTCATCATCATTCCCCAGGCTAAGCTCTGCATTCCAGATGGTCTTTCACATATAGGGAGGGCAGCTCCACCTCCTCGTTGTCCCAGCCTGTCTTTCCCAAGGAGCCTTTACGCGTGCTTTGCAACACTCCACTTGTGGGAGCCATCCCACCATGTCTTCCTGGTCCGAAGAATCACAGAATTCCAACCCAATGGCTTGGGTTGGAAGGGACCTTAAAGATCATCCAGTTCCAACCCTGCACTGCTGTGGGCAGGGACACCTTCCACTAGACCACTCCAAGCCCCGTCCAATCTGGCCTTGCACACTTCCAGGGATGGGGCAGCCACAGCTTCCCTGGCCAAGGCTGTAGCCCTGCAACTGCATGTGGGTCTGGAACTCCTCTGGTTTATTCTCTGTGCTGCATGCATTGGTGTCCGTGTACAGGTTTTACCATAGTGCTTTAGTGCAGTAACAGACACCAGTGCAGGAGGTGACACAGCTGTAAGGGCTGCAGTGTGCACAGAACATAACCCCCAGACCTGTTTCTAGGCTTGCAGCGACCAAGCCCCTCGTTGTGTTGGTGTGTATGTCCTGTTCCCACACCGCTGGGATTTGGGCATGGCAGGATGGATTCCAAACACTGCTGATTTGCTTTCCAGGTGAAACCCATCAATGAGAAGTTAAGAGACATAAAAGGAGCTAAGATGATGGTGGATGTTGTACAGACGCCGTTTGCTCCACTGAAGAAAGTGATCCAGTTTGTGTGTGGGAATGGTTTGGTCTGTGAAACAATTAAAGAAGCAAAGCAAATCGCCTTCGATGGACCAGTGAGGCTGAAAGTAAGAAGCTGAACTTTGCTGCATATGTTTTTCATTGCAGTTATGTGCTTGATGCCATTTTAATAACTGTGCTTTAAACATGCTCTGAAGTATTGCAGATGAACACAGTTGGTACTATGCTGCCTAATCCCACACAAATAAACCACCAGATACTTCAACTGAGTATGTTTTCCTCTGTCTGGTAGTAAATTTAAGTGGTTCCTTGGGAAAAGGAGGAGGCTAATTAGAGGATAGTTATTGTCCAGATATGGCCCTTGTGATGGGAAGGAAGGAGGGATAATCTTGCTCTTAAAACTGTCTCATTTAAAAACACAAATTTAATCTTGCTAGGTTTTCTTTGAAGAAATGCTTTCAGAATTCTTAAAAATATCTGACAAAGTCTCTTAGTTGTAGATGTAGACTATGTTGAGGACTGGAAGCTTCTCTTTCACTTCCTGCAGTTCTGTCTTCTTATTCATCTCTCTGTAGCTGCAGTTAGTCTTCTATGCACTTAGTAAACCTTTTAAAATCTTGGTTAAAACAGCTTTATGCTGATAGTGAGTGTGAAATCCTGTTTACTTGGAATCAAGTTACAGAAACACCCACTGTCTGTGTACAAACAGCTGTTTTCCTTTACTTCATTACCACCTTGCTTGGCTTGTTCTACTGAGCCAGACATAACCTTCCCAGTGCCAGTGTCCACACAGGTGTCTTATGTTCATTTTCTAAATGCAGGAGAATGATACAATTTCATTTCCTTTTCTGATCAGTTGTAATAATACCTGAATGTGATTAGTGCTAAGAAACAGCTGACATTTTCTGTGGCTTCATGTATCTCATGTTAGCTGGTTTGACTCCGGCTCAAATGTGGTTGTTGTTTGTTTAACTGTCACATCTTGGGCTCTAGTCCATGGGATATTTTGGCTTGGGTTTAATTTAATTTTTTTTCTTCCAGACAGTGGCTCTTGATGGAACTTTGTTTTTGAAATCTGGAGTGATTTCTGGAGGATCAAGTGATTTAAGATTTAAAGCTAGATGCTGGGATGAAAAAGAAATAACTAAGATGAAGGAAAGAAGAGATAGCTTGATCAGCGAGCTAAAGGTGGGTCTCAGTGGCACTTAGCTGCAAAAGTCATGAAGGTGTAAAGGTTGTGTCTAGCTGCATGTAGTGCATAAATCAAAGGGATGAGTAATTTTGAAATCAGACACCTTTTGTTTAAAATGCTTGTTCTCCCATGATAAAATTTCTGCAGGACCTGATGAAGATCCAGCGTAAGGAGGCTGACTTGAAGCAGCTGCAGGCACAGTGCCACGGGACTCAGACACGACTGAAATACTCACAGAGTGAATTGGAGCTTATTAAAAAGAAACATCTGGCTAATCTCAACGCGGTATAATACCAAGTCATTTTCATGTTTGATAATTTATCATTTTCATCTTAAATAATTGTCTTTTTTTACTTAAGCTGTAAGTACTTGGGAAGTAAATGCTACTTCCTTACATGTTTTTTTAATTCATTTCAAGTTTCACATACAGCAGTTATGACTGAGGAATCAAAATATAAAAATCAAGATTACAAAGTAATTTACATGAGGCTTTTTCTGGTTTAGTTTTTTTATTCGGATTTCTGATAAGCCTGGGTACTCATTTAGTAACCTTCAGAAGGCTGTAAGTCCAAGTGACTATGGACTTAATTAGTTTGCTTTTCTGCTCATTCAGACTAATCATTGCATGCAAATCAGCAATAATAGTGGGAAAGTGGCATTTGAGAAGGAAATATTTAATGTTTTTGATCAGAAAAATACAGTTCATCTGGAACAGAGCTGTCTCTAAATTCCTAGAACTTGACCTTTCTATGAAGAAAAATTACCATCTTTTTCTTTCTATCTAGGAAAAGTCAAAACTGGAAAGTGAACTGGTAAATATTGAGTTTCGATATGCTATGCTGAATGAAGGAGTAGCGCAAAGAAAAGAAAAAATAGAAGAATTTCAGGAAAAAATTAATGAGGTAATTCCTTTTGTCAGAGCTGTGACAGCCTATGGTGTTATGCTGCAGAAACTTCTGTTCCTGCTGGCTTTTAGAACTTAGACAGCTTTAGACTTTGTAAACTACTGTGTCAACAAGGCTTGTACATTTTTGCAGCAATTCTGCCACATCCTCTGCCTTCCTTCCCAAGGTGGCTGTGAACAGAGGTACTTGGATGTTAGTTTATATGTGTCATAGCTGTGCAAATCAGTTTCCTCAGAGTCAAAGCTGTGTCACTCTTAGGTGCAAAACACAAATGCAGCCAACCAAATCCATTGACTTCTTGAATAGATGAATCTTTGCTTAATATATACGGTTTGCTAGAGCTGAGAACAGTTCTCGATATGGCAAGAGGACTTTGTCCTGAACCCTGCAGGTGACATGTCTAGAGGATGAGCTAATACACCACAGTATATGTAGAACAGCACAGCATGAGGATTCCTTTCTCTTCCTGGGAAGTAGCCAATGTATATGTTTTCTGTGCACTCTGATTTTCCTGGGAGCATGGCTGAGGTGTGCACCATGGTCATCAGCAAATTCCTCATTTCACCCATTTCATTTTAGGGGGTTTTGCTTGTTTCTGTAGGTTTGTTGGGATTTTTTGGTGGGGTTACAGGTGGGTGGGAAGGGGTTTGTTGGGGTTTTCTGAATGTTTTGCTTTGGGGGTTTGTTTTGGTATTTTGTTGGGGTTTGATTTTATTTTTTTTGAAGACTGTTGTATGCCTGTGTTCATTTTGTGGAGAATGGAGATGACTCTTGGTATAACTGAGTGTTCTTTGCTCACCCTGTCTTTGAGGTGTAGCTGATGGAGAACTTGAGGACCGTGTCCCATCTCCACCTGTCCAAATTCATTATCTGTTATGGTGCTAAACAGCTTTTGTCATTAGAACCTGCTCCTGTTTGCTTCTTACCCACAGCAGGAAAAGTTCTCTGGGATATGTGATCCAGCAGTTAGGTTGCCCAGCTGGTTTTTGTGTAGGCACTTCTGCCATCTAATCTCTCAGTTTCTCTGTCATTCTGTAACCTCGCAGTGGTCCCCAGAGCTGTCATACAGACAGCAGGCAGATTCCAAACCAGGGTTGTCATGAAGAGACAGAAGCATTCAGTGAAGGGAGTGTTAGTAAAGCCTGCTCTGATGCCAAGAGGGGCTTCACACCGTGTTCCACTAGAGTGGCAGGGGGTCTGGCCTCTCCAGGAAATAAGCACCTCATCTCTGCTTCTGTCTGGGAGCTGCCTTTGTTCCTATTCTTACCAAAGAGATCTGGTACAGGCTGTGGAAAAGCAGTACTGTGGTTTTATCTGGAAAATTCACAGTTTAGCACCTAGATGCTGATGTCAGTGTAGATTGTTAGAGAAGGAGATACTACTCACCACTGTCTGCAGTTCCTTGAGGCATATCATATGTGTGTAATTTAGTCCCTGCCCTCTGACCCATTCATCAGTCTTGGGTTAATCTGTGACTGCTATTCTGCATGGGAAAAGAAGCCAAAACTGCTCTGTGTTCTCTGTCTTGCTGGTGGTGCAGGCATGAGGGAGTGCAGGTGTCTGTCATCTGCAATCTTTGGTCCATTGGGTTTCCTTTTAAATAGGCTGTTGCTATTTCTTTGTTCAGTCCTGCCATACACACTACCTAGTATTTGCCTGCTTTAATTTTTCATTAAAATTGTAGGACTGGCTTTGACTGAGGCTTTTGTCAGTATCTGCAATATATTTAGGAAATGAGATATTCCATGGCAGTGTTTCTGCTGTGACTTTGCTATAAATGGAACATAGTGATTAATGATTATGGATCCCTTGAAAGGATTAAAATGAAGAACTGAACTACACTATGAAACCTGGTGGATCTGATTAGTGTCCTGTCCAGCTTTCTCTTCTTCAGCTGGCTGGGAACAGCAGGCAAAACCAGGAAAGCTTTTGTCTTTGGAATGACCAATGAAGAGCTGAGATCAGAGTAACCTTTTGCAGATCATATGCCTTGTGTCTGACACTTGGGCTGAAAGTGTAACTTGAACATTTTGAGTACAAATTATTTCTCAGTAGTTCAGTTTGCTGTTTTTCAAGGTACCTTAAAAATCCAGCCTATAGCATGAAGTGGTTGTCTGAATGCTTTGTATCTGTGAATTGCATAAACATTTTTTGCTCCATTTCTCTCTTGTCAAAGGTTGAAGATGCTGTTTTCCAAGAATTCTGTGAAGAAATTGGTATAGAAAATATCCGTGTGTATGAACAAGAACACTTGAGACAGCAAGAGGAGATTGATAGGAGAAGGTGATATTTGTCATGGGCATGTGAACCAGTGGTTGTATGAGACTGGGCACATTGGACAGATGAGAAACTCCAACACAGGAAATAGCACAAAGCCCCAGGAGACTGTAAAAGGTTCTCTTGTCACTGCAAGGATTAGATAGGGGTTGCACTGCTCTGCTTTGGGCTGGTTAGACAGTAGAGTCAGTGACAGCTTGCAACAAACCTGAAAAGTAACGTACTCTTTTTTTAGCACTACTGTAGAAAAATAAAGCAAAGAATAGTTTTCTAAAAGCCACATTGAAAAATGGTGCTGTCCCAGATTGAGAACAGCAGGAAGGGTCACTCATGTATCAAAATTCTTAAGGAGAACTGGGTGTAAGATGCAGGGATTTGATGTAGGAACACACATGTTTTCTTAAGGAGAACAGGCTCTTGCGTTTCTTACAGGCAACCTCAGCTGGTATTCCTCCCGCAGGCACATGTCACAGGGCCACAAATCTAAATCTTAAAGAAGGGGAATGTCAAAATGAGTGTTAAAATCTCACTTTCCATACTGAATGTGGCTACACTGTATTTTTTTAACTAATACCACAGTATCTTTGCAACTCTCAGTATATCCCCAGGATGGGATGTGGTGGAATCAGTGATCCAAATTATGCCAATACTTGTGTTCACATAGAAGATACACAAAAGCTATCTAAGTAGTCAGAGGGAAAATGTGCCTTGTCAGAATTTAAAATCACAGTTGCTTTGTAAGTGTTGATCTGAAATCCTGTACTTTGGCCAGGCTGGAGTTTGAAAACCAGAAGACACGACTGAACGCTCAGCTGGAGTATAGTCATGAGCATCTACAGAAATTAACAAACTCACTCAGCAAGCTGAGGGAGACCATTCAGAAAGATGAAGATGAGATTACCAAGCTACGGAAGGTAACTGTAAAATCAGTGTCTCCCTCTCTCCTTCTCTAGGACTGAGAGGAAAGAATGCATTGAATTACAACTTTGATCAAGGTATTGATGCTGTGGAGTAATTTTTTAAGAGCTTAATTCAGTTTGGGTTCTGTAATTGTTGGAAAAGTACAGATGCACATTGCATTTTAACCTTGGAATAACTAGTCATATTTGAGACTTGTTATTAAAAGTAAGCTCACTAAAAATTAAACTTGGGATTACTGTGTGTACAGTGTTACATTGTCTTCAGTTATGAAAAGGCAACTACAGGTAAAACCAGCAACATATGGCTCAGACTTACTGGAAGATTTCATGAGTATTAGTAAGCAACTCTGGTGCTTTACATCTTTCAGGTGCTTCACAGCCAGCAAGAGATTAAAAATAATTCTATGAAACCAATGTAGGTTTTTGGTTGAAGTAATACGTATGGATTCCTCCTTCATGGTGTTCTTTATTCTTTGTTGTGCTGATATTGCTTGTTAAATAAACCCATGCTTGTACACAGAGAAGTGAAGGAGAAAAGATATGTAATAGTGCTTTGAATAAAAAACTAAAGTGAAATATATGAAACTACCACAGAGTAGGAAAAAAACCCCACAATGACCTTCAGGTGTTGTGCTGTTACACATTTGAAACTTTAACTGTTTCTTTCTGTATAATAAAGATTCTACATTGAGAGTTTTGGTAGAAGGTCAAAAATGTAACTATTTCTATGCAGGATGAAGAAAGGCTTCTAATAAAAGTGAATGAAACTCTGGAGAAGCAGCAACATCTCAAGAATAGATTAAGTGCTCATAAATGTGAGCTTACAAAAAGCCAAAATGAACTTGAAGAGTTCAGAAAGACATTGTTGACTCTTAATAGGTAATTGCTACTTGTACTCCTGAGAAAATGATTAATGTGCTAATATTTAGAAGAGATTTAGTGATCAGGTGTTTGAATTTTTCATCTCATTTTGTCGTGAAAGGTTTATTAGCAACATGGCTATTTGCATTTCTGTTCAAACTAACACATACTGTAAATGCAAATTTAGTGTGTGGTTCCCAAAGGAGATGTGGCAGCGATTATTCCATGACAGCCATCCCATAAACTGTACAGAGTGACACTATCTTATTACTTACCTAGTGTTAGGTCTCTGACCAATAGGTAGTGACTTCTGCTAAGTCTGTAGTAGCTTTCAACTTGGTTCTTGGTGTGTGAAGTTCACTGGTAGTTTCAGAGTTTAGTTTGAGTTGTATAGTGGGTTCAGTTCATGAGAATTCTCTTTCCTGATTTAATTGGTATTTTCTCCAGCCTTTTCATGTGTTGAATACCTTAAACTAGTGTTAACTTTAGGTCACTATTTTGTCCTACAGTTGTTTTAAATCACCTGCTCTGGGGACAGTTTATACTTCAGCTGCCTTACACTTGTTTATTATCGATGTGGTTAATATCTCTTAATCAGGAGTCATCTCTATGTTTAAAAACCCTGACGTGTTCATAAAATCCTAGATTATAGTTTATGTTGGAAGGGACCTTAAAGATCATCCAGTTCCACCCCACCTGTCATGGGCAAGGACACCTCCCACTTAGACAAGGTTGCTTGGAACCCCATCCAGTCTGGCCCTGAGCACTTCCAGGGACGTTGGCCCAGTATGGCTAGGTAAACTTGTGGAATTTTGTATAAACTCATGGACTGTATGCCTAGTAGTTCATTTTATAGTTTGTCATTTTAACAATAGAAGCTGTTACATTTCTGCTGCTGATAACTTGGTGCTGTTAGAGGAATTTGTTGCAGAGACTCAAGGTGTATTTCAAGGACTGTAATGGTAGAAGGTACTTGGCTAAATGTTAAAAGGCTCAAATCTCCATACTTGTTCAGAGAGCTGAGGGAGCAGAGGTAGGGTAACTAGGAAAGGTGGATATTTGAACATGCTGTAGAGTACATTTACTGAAGCTCAGGCTCCCTCTGAAGTAATTAGGGAGAATGGAAGAGATGGCAAAGTACAGCACCATTTTCCTTTATGTTTGATGGGGATTGCAGAGGGGAAGAGCCCTCTTGGTGCTTGGAGGTTGCTTCTCATGCTGTATTTATCCTGCTGTTTTTCTGTGAATGCCACTGGCAGAGATACTAATGCTTCTGACTTGTTTTGTGCTTCTTTTGCATGTAGGGAAGCCACAAAGCTGCAGAGGGAGGCGACAGCTGTAGAAACCTCTCTGGAAGAGAAGAGATTAAGGCGACACAATCTGCTGCTTGAATGCAAAGTGCAGGACTTGAAAATCAATTTCCTGTTTGGATCACTGGATGACATCAGTGAAGTAGAGGTACTTGAAATGTTTACAAAAGATAGATATCACGGAGGAGCAGTTACTCGGTCTTGAATGCAAAGATCCTTATTCTTTGCTTACAGGACTGTTTGTCTTACATGGTAATGTTCAAACAAATACATGGTTTTCATCTGATCAGGCCTCAGCCACTCAAGAGAAGGATTTTTGTTTATTTTTGTAGTCAGGAGTATTGTTGGCAAGTAGTTTTACTTGTGCTTGAAACGTAGTCCTGGGAAATACTTAAAATCCCTGTGGTACAAGAAAATTGGTATGAAAATATGTAGGAGGACACACAGGGGTCAGTTCAGAAATGGAAATAATTATGGCATGTACATGGATTGAGTTCAGATTTGGTCAGTCATCCAGAATATGAATATTATAATATAAAATCATCCTTTTGTTTTCAGTAGATGTAAATATTCACAGAAACCAGGGCTAAAATAGAAACATTTCTGCTGTCAGAGAATTGACCCTCATTATTTGGCTCCATCTTCCCTCTTTTTCCAGCATATCTTTTGTGAGGAGAACTAAACTTTCTCCACTGTTGCAAAAGAAGGGAGCTGGGGGTTTTGAGGGATTTGTCATAAGTCTGTGAATTTGCAAGGAGTCTTGTTGAAGCCATTCCTTAGAAAAGTATTTTTGCTGGAGGATAGGTGTGAATGGGGCAGCAAACAAAACACAGGCAGTGAGGTGAGGTAGGAGTCTGTGAAGGGAAAGAACAAGAACTGCTAATGGTCAGAGGATGTGGGAGCTCAGCTCTCAGTGTTGGTGAGTGACAGAGAGATGAAACCAAGGTGAGCAGTTGGAATAACAACTTGGAATCTTAATCTTACTGAGAAGACTGTCAGATTTGGTTCTGAGTAAGAATGTTGGTGGGAGAGGGACTGATAGTGAGAAGGAGCACGTGTGTCACTGGAGGGAAGGTAGCTGTTTGAAATCCAGGCCCTGGTGTCAAGAAGACATGAGTTTGCCTCGTACCATGTCACCACTGTCTCTTCATTCTGTATCCTTTTAACTCATTGTTTTAACAGTTTAGAAGTTAACTGTTGTATTTCTGAACTGGAATGTCCTTCATGTTGTAGCTAGGAACAGAAACAGAAGGCACCCAGACTACACCAGGGATCTATGAAAAGGAAGAGGCAATTCAGATAGACTACAGTGGCCTAGCAGAAGACCTGAAGGTTATCTTTTCTGTTTGCAATTGTTTGAGAAGGAGTGCTTGGTTTTTATTTTTGTCTTTCCAAATACTTTCTTTGTTGAAACTACTTGTTCTTCACCCTGATCTTTAGATGGAGCTCAGTGAAAACACAGTGAAGCTGCAGTGCATGTGTGTGTGTGCTCTGGTTTTGTAGTCTTGCAGCATCGATGTGTGGGATTTCTGGATGGGTCAGTTTCCCATTTAACTGGCTAACTTCAAGCTTACATAAACCACAAAAGTGGAATTGAGGAAGAGTTCATATAACCTTGGTTTTTCCTTCCTCCTTTACCTTCTGCCTTTGAGTTCTAACCCTCTATGTTGTGGCTCAAAACTCTGGAACCCAAGGGTGTCTGTGGGGGTTGTACACCTGTTTGTGGTGTTTGCAGAGACTGAGGCTTCCCAGCCTTCCTTCTCTAACAGCCATTAGGTCACTTTTTCTCAGCAGGTTTAGTAATTATACTTTTTTCCTTTTAAATCTTAGGGAATATAATTAATGTCAGAGGTTACGTACAGAGCAAAGGGTGGATCTGTCATCACTGGAACTTGTCTCTAGTAATGCACCACGAACCTCTCTTCTTTACAAATTGAGTAGTGAAGCACTAGTCCTGCCCCTGTGTCCCTCCTTTTAACGAGGGAATTGAGGGAAGGGAATTGGCTCTGTTTTTGAAAGTTTTGTGGAAGAATATTGAGGCCCTAATAGATTTATTCTGAGAGCTAAGACTCCCGAGTGACATTTTTTGGTTGTTTTCAATGAAAGGTGTTAATGAGTGGGGCACTTCTTCCAGAAACCACCAGTGCTTGCTGTGTGTGTTGAACGGTTGGCCCAAAAGCAGATTAGATAGCTCTAGTATTTCATGTCTTTTCCTTTAGGACCTAGAGTCTGATAAAGACATAAAGGATCATCTGAAGCAGATGGAGCAGGAAATAAAAGCTAAAGAGATCACTTTAATGAAGACAGCTGCTCCAAACCTGAGAGCAGGGGAGAAATTACAGATAGCTCGGAACAAGTTCCAGGAATCAATGAGTGGTAACACTGAGTCTTTCATGTCAGTCTCTTTTGTGACTCAGACCTTTCACCCTAATTGAAATTCCTCTTCCTGGGGTTGGCCCTGCTGGTTTTGCCCATAGGATAGTAAAGGGTTTTTTTGTGCTTCTCCTCAGTTATCTTTTTCATTATATATAAACAATTTATTAACATACACTTGGGTCTGCAGTAGTTTGTTGAAATACAGTTTGAATGATTGAAAAGATACTTTGTTGGCCAAATGACATGGACAACTTTTTTTACTTTCTGAAAATAACTGACTTTAATCTTCAAATTCTTTAAATTTTTCTTACATAATTGAAGGAACTGTATATGTTGTCCAGAACTCAGACAGGAGCATTTCTGCAAAGTGAATAGTATCCTCAGAGAGCATTGCAGACTTTAAGGGGTTCTGGAGCTGTACCAGGTCAGTGCTGGTACTGCTTAGGGCTGCCCAGCTTCCTGAAGTAATTGGGAGAAGAATTTTGTTCCTTGCTCCAGACAAATGTGGCCTAGAGCAGATTGAATACATCACACCTTCTCAGCTTTTGGGGCCTGTGTTTGAAATCTGGAAGGAAACTCATGACCTTGGTATGCTCCCTGTACATGCCTTTGTTTCTGCAATTAGGATTTCCCTTGATACTGCTTAATGTACACAATAGATATTTGTTCTGTGTATTTACTCTGAGGCTTCTTATGGAGTAATTTCCATGATTTTTTGCATAGCTTTTGAGAGCAGCAGGAAGGAGGCCAGGATGTGCAAGCAGGAGTTTGAAGAGGTGAAAAGGAAGAGATATGAGCTGTTCAGCAGTTGCTTTGAGCATGCCTCCCTAGCCATTGACAAGGTCTACAAGAAGCTTTGCAGGAACAGTAGTGCTCAGGTATGTCACATGCTCAAGTGCTTTGCCTGAAAGGCCTTCTGCATGCTTTACTGCCTAGAGTCAGAGAACTTAGTAACACTTGGGGTTTCCATAGGCAGTCTCAGTCCTGAAGGAGAAAATTACTACACAAATATTAAAGACTATAGAAGTTTAGGGTCAGAGAAGGAATAGGTAATAAGCCAAAGCATGCTTGACATTAGACAGAGAAAGGTAATCTGCTAACAAGATTGGGAACTACTCTGTTTGGGTGAGTTTGACTCTTTGTACTTAGCAGACTTGTAAATTATGAGAACACAACTGTGAAATGTATTAGGGTACTTCATTTAAAAACAGTTTTGGTTTACACACCTAGTGATACCAAGAACAGGTAATTAAAAATACTTGTTAGTTAGATAAAACTAAAAATCATAAATCACTGCTACTGTTTGTATGAGGTCTTGATGCTCCTTATACCACACTTCAGTACTTAGACAACACAGACATGTTTGCAGCCTTTAAGAAACCTGAAGAAAACCTGTCCCAAAACTGTATTATCTTTGTTACTGTTCCTGTATTAATGCCAGAAATTAAGAGGGAACTCCCAAATGCTTTGGCTACATCAAATTCCCTAGACTGTGGAATGTTTACAGGGCTCAGGATTGGACTCTTGTCTAAAACTTCATATCCTGTGTTTTCCCTCAGCATGTTGTATGTTGGTTTGGTTTTCTTCTGCTGTGTCTGTGATCCCAGAGGACACATTAGAAATGAGGGTTAAGTTTGGAAATTTCTCTTTTATCTGTATCCCCTTGTGCAGAGGGGAAGAGACTGTAGTATTTTTTTGTCTCTTCTATTTAATGGGAAAAAACAAACCATGTAGCAACCAGCTTATCCATTGTACTTTGCAGTGGTGTGGCAGAATGGCTCTTTCTTGAACGTAATGCTTTCAGGTTTTGGCCCTGGGAACCAGGACACAATGTATAGAGAAAGACTGTTTGTATTAAGTAAGTCCTTCTCCAGCTCAGAGCTACATTCTGTAAAGCTAACCCTTCACAAAAAAAAGGGGTCATTTTGCAAATCTGTGGTCTTCAAGCTAAAAAATAAAATCTGCTTTTGAAGTCCAAAATTTTAGTAACTAAAAGAAAATCAAAGTAGTTACACAAAAGGTGATAAATCAAGTTTAGTCAGTAGCTGAACATTTGTAAATAACAAATGTGGCACCATTTCCCAGCTGATTTGCTAGTGAGCCTCTTGGTTCATTAACTAAAACCACATTCCCTGGGAATCTGATAGTGCTGCCCTCAGGATGGATGAACAGGTTTCCTACGTCTGAAGCAAACTCTGGTTCTACTCTAGCGTGGCGAAAATATAAACCTAAAAAAAGTACCCATCTTGCTAATTGGATAAATGTCACTATTAACAATGAAATATATTTGTTTCCAGGCATTCCTTAGTCCTGAAAATCCTGAGGAGCCCTATCTGGAAGGCATTGGCTTTAACTGCGTGGCTCCGGGCAAGCGCTTCATGCCTATGGACAGCTTGTCAGGAGGGGAGAAAACCGTGGCAGCTCTGGCTCTTGTGTTTGCCATACACAGGTGAAAGAACCATTCTGGGATTATCCAAGGAGAAAAAAGAAGTGTTAGGGGATTATCCAGGTCTCTAGCTGAGTGAGTGACAGAAAGAGAGACAGTGTTCCACTGACAGGCATGTGGAAAAAATCTGCTAATGGAGTATTCCAAGTGTCTCTGAAGTCCTTATTCTTTACCTGTCATGACTTTACTGTTATATATAAAGTGTAGAATTTTAATTAAATTATTAGGTGTTAATTAAATTGTTGTATATTATTTAGTATTACACATTAAATGGCATCTAGTGATTTAATAAATATAACATTGCCAAATATTATCAAAATGTTATTATGGAGTAAGTAATTCAAGTGTTCATTAACATTTTGGCATCTAAGTGCAGAATCCTGTCTCGTCTCTGCAGCTTTAGGCCAGCACCTTTCTTTATTCTGGATGAGATAGATGCTGCCCTGGATAACACAAACATTGATAAGGTAAGTTATCCTTTATGACACTGCCCATCTCTGCAGCTGTCCAGGCTGGGCTGCTGGATGGGAATGGAGAATCCTGCCTGGCTCTGGCTGGCTGGCAGGGGCCCAGAACATGCCTCACAGAGTTACAGGCTGTTTCCTGGGTGACTTCAGTTCGTGAAGTTCCTAAGTTCCTGTTGCAGTTAGGGATGCCCCAGTCATCATTCCTGTACACATTATGCAAAGTTCAGGATTGCTGGGATGCTGCCAGCTTTCCATAGAGGCTACACACAATGCATTGACACAGCTGGTGAGAGACAGTGCTCAAGGCACTGCACTTTGCCTCTCATTCTGAGCCCATTCCAGCTGCACCTGGCAGAAGAAGTGTCTCCTTTATGCCTTGGGACACGCTGAGCACCATTGTTTCCCAGAACACTGTAACAAAGATGGTTCTCCCTCTCTGCCTTTGTATTTCTTAGTTCAGAGGTATTGAAACTCTGGTTTACTTTCCTTCAGGTAAAAATAATGTTCATAGCCCACAAAAGAAGATTAGATTAAGACTTGTGAGCCAAGTGGTTCCCAGCCTTGCTCAAGCAAAAGCAGAATTGCAGTGATACGCAGTTAATAATGTTTAATTAATAATTAGTTTTCCTGCTCCCAGGGCCTTCTATATCTTCCCTTATCTGTAAGACATAGTTGTTACTGGAAAGCACCAAAAAACCCCTTCAGACACAGGAATTAAATCCTGCAAGTGAGCACAAATGATCTGTGAAAGATCACATGTTGCTAGTACTCACAGGCATCCAGGTTTTATCCTTAGAACTAAGTCTGTTTCTTTCCATTCTTTCAGTTTAAAGCAGATATCCAGTAATTGGAACTACACAGTGAAATGAATATGAATTAAATGACCTACTTCCATTAAAACATGATTTCCATGTCATGTGGATGACAGGCAGAGGGCTAATGAAAAAAATGTGCTGGTTGTCCTTTATGCAGCATTTAGTTCCCATCGTGGGACACTCAGGCACCAGTTCCTGACTTAAAATTTGTGCCTTTATTTTGCATTAGCACTGACAAATATGCTGCTGCCTGCAGGGAACTAGGACGTGTTTAAGATCCACTTACACAGCCAGTGCCAAACTTTTCACACCTTTTTACTTATTCAGAAATTTCCACCTTCCTTTGTAGTTACATGAAGTAAAATATCGATTCATTGGCACTGGCTTCATCCTATAACTTTATTCATTGGAGTGAGTGATTATTTCCTCACGTGTTTTCAAAAAGCAGCAAGTCCAGGGGGTTGTCTTAAGACCATGGAAAGTATTTGGCTTAGGACTGGTTTATTCCTGATTTTATCCATGATGGAATTCTGCAGCTAGCACAGTTCAGTTCTTTCCTCATCATTCCCTAACCACAGCTTGGTTTCAGGCTGCCAGAACTAACCTTCTGAAACTCCTGGTTTCTTTCCAAAGGTCTCGAGTTTCATTAGAGACCAGGCACATGACCACTTCCAAATGATAGTGATTTCCCTGAAGGAGGAGTTTTACTGCAAGGCTGATGCATTGATTGGAGTGTGTCCAGAGGTAATTGATTACTGCAAAATTCTGTTCAGTAATGGGAGGTGATGAGGTACTGATTTACACCTGAAGTGCTGCCCCAGTGAATCGTGCAGTGTGTGGCTGGGTGTGCCACAGGATGTGCATGGAACATCCTTTGGGTGACTCCAGCTCCTGATTGTAGCTCACAGTCAGTTATGAACTGCTTATTCCAGTGCCACACAAAGGTGTTATATGATGTGCTCCTCCTCTTCCCAGTACGATGGTGTTATGTTCAGCCGAGTCCTGACCTTGGATCTGACTGAGTACCCAGAGGGGGAGGACCAGGATGCAGCAGAGAAGTCCAAACACAGTTCTGTCTTGGAGTAGCATGTGGCTGGTGTCAAGGCAAGGTGACAAGCGCTGGGTTCACAGCTGACTGTTCCAAATCTGGGTTTGAGGTTCATAGAGAAATGTTCACTTTTCAAAGGAAGAAGTTTTGCAATATGTTAAAGGAAGCAACTGTTCCTCATTGATGCCGTTTTGTTCAGGAGTGAGGGAGAGCTTGAGGCTGTGACTGAGGTATGCACACAAAGCTTTCTCTCCAAATGCTTTGGGATGGTTTTGCCTCAAGTTGAAGGGTTCAGGTTTGTTCCCATAAGCACACTATCCCCAGGAATGAGCCTCTTGCTTTGCTCAGGAAAAGCCCTGTGTGTGGAGGTGCAGGGCCCGTGCACTGTTCAGGTGTGTGCTGCCCCAGTCAGGGCCTTCACCAGCTCTCTCTCTGGTGCAGCTGTATGTTTGCCTTCAGGTAGGAGTATTTCCTCTTTTTTGAAACCATAAAGTGCAGGAATGTGCCCATTGTCTTGGGTGACTTTTGCGACACCCAGAGACTTCAGTCTTCCACTGCAAGTGCTATAGAGATAGCAGCCTTAGAAAAAAGTGTTTTGGTTTGTTGTTAGGCAGCTGTCACACTGAAGGCAGGTTTATTTTGCTGTCTGTGCTTCATCTAAGCAGCAAAGTTAATGAAGTTGGTGCAGAACACTGAGAGCTGGAATCGCATCACCTGGTTTATGTTCCACCTCTCTGTGTGCTGAAGAGCTTCCCTTGGTTTATGGTTGCTCATAATCATTATATCTCATGTTCATGGAGCAGTTTCCTTTTTGTCCCCCAGGCTGCCTGCACACACCTGCCTTGTGGTGTGCTGTGAGTCCTGGGCTCCTGCACACACCTGGGTACTCAGATCCTGCCTCAGGGAGGAACATTCTAACACCATCAGGGTGCACACTTCTCCTGCAGACAGGTGGTTATCAAATACTTGTGCTCCTGCCATGCTTCACTAAATAAAACAGTTTACTCTGAGTTGTTAGTGTCAGTGATTTAACGTGGAATCCAGTGACAGATGGGGAAGTACATTCAGCAGCCTCAGTGCTGTTCAGAGATCTCTGCCCCACATCACTCTGGGTACTGCTAATACAGAAGTCCTGGTTCCTTGAGGGGTTTTAGCCATTTGCTGGGAACAGGTGGTTGAAATAGAAAACTCCAGTAAAGAATGGAACAGCCTGAACAACAGGGACAGCTTCACATGTCTCTACAATAATGGTTTATTTGGCTTTAAATGTTTTATTAGAGTGTATGTCATCATCAAAGATGTCCTGCCAAATTCAGTTCACAGCTTGAGCTAAAAAGGTAATAAATGGCCAACAAGTTGGTTTTCAGCATCTGAGTCTTGTTTAAAAAAGAAAAAAGATACAATGGAGCAGAAAAAGAGCTGTGGACAGTGGAATGGGTAAACTGCATCTACCCTGCCTCTCTGTAGGGTCAGCTTTTCCAAGGGACTGACCAGGGCCTTAACCAAGCTACTGCTTCACTCAACAGCTAAATAGAGCAGACAAGGCTCCAATTCTGTCCCTTCTGACTGTACTTGATACCCTGAGGTAGCTGCAAAGCAGTCCCACTGCTATGGTGAGCAAAGTCTGGTCTTTGGTGGGGGAGCAAAATCCAGAGTAGGCATTTCTCCCTCCTTACTCTGTGTGTTAGGAGAGAATATAACAACTTACACAACTGCTTTTGAGAATACAAATAGAGGTCAGAGTCTTACAGATAATGCTCTATGTGACACTCAAAGACAATTTCTAGAAGTGCCTGTAAATACACTCTCTGAGGGACAGGATGGGTGTAGGCTGCCTTGAGGTCTGTAGGAGCGAAGCAGCATCCCAAAACATCCCAAACTCTGGAGCTTTTCCTACCAGGGAACAACAGGCATTGTCTTCGTGGCATGGGAGCAAAGAGCTGGCAAACCACAGCTCGAGAGAAAGGCCACATGACAGAGCAGGTTTCCCATCCCCTTCCTGGAAAACCTCCTTAGAGTGTGACCTGCTGTTGGAAGGCATAACAGAGACATCCTCAGGGAACAGCCCCAGGGAAGCCTGATGGGAGCAACCCCTCAGCACTGCCAGGTACACTTGTGCCAGCATCAGGACCAAGAACAGCCCTGGGTACACTCTCCTGCAGGCACTGAGGTGAGAGGCAGCTGCTTCTCCCTGACCCTGCAGGTACACTCTGAGTGCCCTAGCAGTGCCAGGGCAGTGCCAGCTTTTGTGACTCTCAAGCTTTACACACTCCACACATTTACAGCTTTAAAAAGGAAAAGGCTAATATGTACAATTTTATTCCACTTAAAACCATGGAAGTACTCAGCTCAAAATTTTCCATGCAGCAGATGTAAAACACCCACTGTCAAAAGGCTTCTGGGGTGAACTTTGGGTGTTTGGGGTTTTTCATTCAACAGTGGGCATCTCTGACTGCTTGATCCTTTTAGGAGAGTCAGTGCCACTTTCTCCCAACTTCCTTTTAGCACAGTCCACACATGAAGTTCCTGGAGAGGGAGAGGCAGAAAGAACCCAAATTAGTGTTGCTGCATACATGTGCTTTGGTGTACTTGGTGTAAGATAAACACAATCCTGATCCCCGGAGGTTCTTGGGTTTGGATTCTGAATACATGTAACACTAACCCTGCTGAAAGTCTGAGCTTGAGCTCTCCCCCAACACTGATCTCTAGTGCTGACACAACACGAAGGAGCTCATTATCCAGATGCCTTCTGACAGAATTCCTGAGTTTCTGCTGAAATGCCCGTGGAGCTCACAGTGAGAGGCTGCACCCCTTATTCAGAGGGAGGGTTCACACAGATGGTCCTCTCCAACCCGAGCCATCCCTGAAGTCTGTGACACAAACCCTTGCTGTGAGCTACTGTTGAAAGTACAGAAACAGCACAACTGGACAGTAATGTGAACGAAACAGCAATTCCTTTAGAACCAGGGCATCCACTTAAAACTCCAGATAGGTGTTGCAGGGTGTTACACACAGTGATTCTCTTGGGGATTTGACTTGGTCTGCATTCCAAAATACAAGCAAACAGGTGCTAAAATTACATCTAAGGAGGGTGCTAACCAGTTAGAGAAGGAGTTGTATGTTAAGAGGACCAGAATAAACTGTGCTAAAGGTTTTGGTTTCTCCTCCACTGATGTCTAACAGTACTGTATTGAAAATGGGGTTTATGATCTCAGCTGAAAGACAGGTAACCTTAAAATCCAGCTGGAATCACAAAACTCATCTCTGATTTTACACCTGCCCACAAGTGTCTTGGACCTTGTGTGCTTGGACCTCGTGTGTGGGAAGGAGTGGGAGGTTCATCTCCTGCACTGCCAAAGGCCTGATGGGCAGTAATAAAATGATACTTCTGTACAATTTTGGTGTTAGCTGCAGCAGCACAGAGCCCAGAAGTGTCATCTAAGTTGTTTCAAGGGGACATTTTGCTATTTTTTACCACAAACTGTAATGCGTTATGGCTCAGCTCAGTCACAGAAGTATCACAAAGTTCCCTGAACAGCTTAGCTGAAAATTCACCTTCAGTACCTACCACTTCAAGCTTGAGATTCACTCTTCCAGACCTCCTTAAGGAAGGCTTTTGGGACAGACAAACCTGTGCTTGGAAATCTAAGCCAAACCCTCATGGATGTTAGTATTACCTCGAGCACCCTGGTCAGCATTAAAAACTTTATATACTCATTTTCTGGAGCTTTTAACATTGTCATTTGATTGACAGCTGAAAGCTGCCGACAGGCAGAAGTTCAGAGGGTAAAGAGAGAACATGGAGCAGACTTTCAGAGCTAAATCAGAGTGCTGCACAGTAATCACTTAAATACCTTGGAAGGAAGAGATTTATTTTTCTTCCCATGGTAGGATTATGGAACTTTCTGTGCAAATGAAAATGTTACTTACCCAGTAGTGTTGTGCTGTCCACTCGGTCAGCATCTACAGAAGTGAGAGAGACAGCAGCAGCACAGGTTAGCATCCATGGAGTTTTTATACTTTTATGCACCATCCCAAAACAGCAAAGTTATGTTTAGAATCACAGAACACTTTGGGTGGGAAGGAACCTCAAGGATTTCATTCTATCCCCCATGCTATGGGCAGGGACACCTTCCACTAGACCAGGCTGCTCCAAGCCCCATCCTACCTGGCCTTGAACACTGCCAGGGATGGGACAGCCACAGATTCTCTGGGCAGCCTGTGCCAGTGCCTCACCATCCTGATCATAAAAAATGTCTTCTCTATACCTAATCTAAACCTCTTTCATTGTGAAACCATTCCCCCTTCTCCTATCCCTATGTGCCCTTGTCCAAAATCTCCCTTCAGTGCTCTGGGAGCCCCTCTAAGTACTGGAAGGCTGCTGTAAAGTCTCCTCAAAAGCCTTCTCCAGGCTGAAGAGCCCCATAGCAGAAGTGCTCCAGCCCCCTAATCGTCTTTGTCATCCACCTCTAGACCCAATGCCAGCAGCTCCATGTCCTCCTCATGTTGGGGACCCCAGAGCTGGATGCAGCACTCCAGGTGAGTCTCAGCTGAGTGGAGTAGAGGGACAGAATTCCTCCTCACCTGCTGCCCAAGCTGTGGGAATCAGCCCAGGACACAGATGGTTTCTGGGCTGCCAGTGCACGTTGTGGCTCTTGTCCAGCCTCTCACCCACCAGCACCCCCAAGTCCTTCTCCCCAGGGCTGCTCTCCCTCTGGTCATCCCCAGCCTGGATTTATGCTTGGGATTTCCTGACACAACTGCAAGACCTTGCCCTTGGCCTCCTTGAACTTGGTGTTCACACAGTTCCACCTCTCCAGCCTGTCCAGGTACCCCTGGATGCCATCCCTTGCCTCCAGACTATACCAACCACAGCCCTCAGCTTGCTGTCATCTGCAAACTCAGCTGAGGACACACTCATGTCCCCATCAAAGCCATTACACAGTACTGGTCCCCACACAGACCCCTGAGGGACACAGCTCGTCACTGGTCTCCAGCCACACATCGAGGCACAGACCACTGCTCTGAAAGTGACCATCCAGCCCAGTTTTGATCCATGTTCCCCAGGTCTTCCTTTTTTCCCTTTTGAAAAATGGGGGCTATGTTTCCCCTTTTCCAGTCAATGGGAACTTCCCTAATCTGACCCAAATTTTCAAATATGGCTCAGCAACTTCATCTGCAGATTGAGAATTCTACCAGGACACGACTGCTGCAGCCCAGGCTCCCTCCAACCCTGACCTCAGGTCCAGCAGAACCTCTCTCCTGCTTGGGCTCTCCATCAGCTGTCCTAGGAGTGGTCCTCAAGGTACTCCAGTAGATTTGGACTGCTGTGCTGCTTTTCCAGCAGGTGTCTGGGGGGATGAAGTCCCTATCAGAATCAGGGCCTGCATTTCTCATTTCTTTCATACAACCCTTTTAACCAACTTCTTCTGCTATGTTTTCAAAAAGAGTTTGTAAATAAGCATGAAAAATCAAACCCTGACGAGTTTGGTGATGTACAGAGCAGTTACACACATCTGAAAACAGTTTTGTTTGGGATCTTGACTTGTAAATGAGATCAACACCACCTTCAAGTCTGAGGAAGGTCTCTGTTCTTGCAAGTCTGATGCCAATCAGACTGCAGACAAACTCCCTGAAACCTAGGTGCTGTACTAAATATGGCAAGAAAAATGTAATGCAGTGTAAATGTACTATTCATCAAGTCATAAAAAGCAGGATATAATCTGGGCATGCATCTTGCAGGGCTAGAGGAAGGTTCCTG